ACCTTTGGGACAACCATATCTGGATGACCGAGAACCTCCATAGACATCAAAGGGAAAAAATATCAAAACTACATCATTAAAATGTTAATACATAAATGTTAATACTATTGTAGGAAGAAATATCCTTCTGGGTTCAGCTCCAAGTGGGGAAAAAGACACTGGAAACATGGAGACTGCTTGGAAAGATGGTTTAATGGTGGACAGGATCACATGGTTTGAGTTCCTGAACAGAAAAGGGCGAGATACAGTGAGTCCCTGGGTTTTATGCTCTCTCTGGCTTTGAACTTCCTGGGGCCCCGAAAGAGTATCCTGATGGTTGTCAGACTCCCAGGGGTTGGAGGTCTTAGCTAGCCTTGCTGGCTGATGTAATCTTCCCAGGTGCCATGTGGTGAGTTTCTGTCCTAGATGGTCCTATTGTTTTGCAGATTATGGTCCTTTGACAAAGGATTGAGTTTCTGCCTCTGGCCCATTAATAAAGGTGTGGGGAGGGAGGCAGGAAGCTGCTTTGTCTTTAAAACATGTTTCTCCATTTCTCATCCAGAGAAATATAATATTCTGCCTTTTTAATATTTCCTAAAATATTTCACTCTTCCAGGAAAGGGGTGGGTGCTAACTTCCTATAATTCCTACTTTTTTAAAAAAAAAAACGTGAGTTTTGAAATAAGTTCTTGGCAAACAATTAAAATTGATCAGGTCAGGGAGGCTTGATGGGTGCTTTTAATTGTTCTGATGCAAAGGGAAAGGCATTGATAGAGGGAACAGAAAAGGATTCCTTCAGTGGCTTCCAAAAGCTTTCAACCATGAAGGTCTAGCAGCCAGGAGAAAAGTTCTGGTAAGAATTTTACAGTATCCAATTTCTATGCCAATTAATTTCAGATGTCAGATATCATTTTCTGTGAGCTTCCAGTCAGGTTGCAAGCAAACACATGTCCCAAAAATTTTCACAGCCATGATTTTCTTTTAAATTACAGACTGCTCATTTCATGTGTAGGTTACTAAACCTGCCTAGCTCTTACTTTAGTGCATCCAGGATTTGTGAGTCCAAATTGAGGTTAGCCAGTGTACAATCCAGGCTTTTTTTTTTTTTAATTACACACAATGAGCCCTGGGACTTCTACTCATGAGACCACCAGCGCAACATATCGTGCTTTACTGGGCAACTGGGTTGTGAGTCAGTCAGGGCTTCGGTTTGGGATATCACTTTTTCTGCTATCTCTTCAAGTGAGGAAATTGCCTGAGGGGGATTGCCCCCTCCCCCATGGAATTAGCAGGGAGATATGACTACTTGGGCTTTTAGTGCTACAGAGCAAAAATCAACCTAGGAGAAGCTTTGTGTGGAGGTAAGTGAAGGGAATAGTTTCAGTCTAATTCTGAATGGTGTGTCTCTCTCTGTGTGCATGTGTATGCAGCTACTCTAATACAGGCAATACAAACATTTTGGACATATTTCTCCTCCCCACCAGACAGAAATCTAAGGTGTACATAACTTGCTGTGGCAGCCACTCCCAAATACAAACTTTACATGAGTACATTAGACTGATTACTATATAAATGAGACAAGAAAAAAAAACCTTACAATGAATTTCCACCCTCCCCCCATAGTCTTTCCAGCTGTCTTCTGGGGATTGAAAAGAGTCTTTTAATCTTTGCTTGTACATCTCAGGGTCTTTTCTTTCATGTCTGCTGGGTTGCATGCTTGGTGGTAAGGCTGGTCAGTCAGGCTTGGGAAAGTCTGCTCCACTCTGGTTGCTGTGATGACTTTCAGTGGAGGCTGGATTCAAACCCAATTTCTGGCTCAAACAGATGGAAGGTCTCCTTTGGAGGCAGCACTTGGATCCATGTGCTCTGCTTCCACAGTTGCAGAGTCATCTGTGCTGGGCTGAAAGACATTAGAACTGGGTCCCCTCCCCCCTTTTGTGGGTAATCTTCCCAGGAAAGGCATTGTAACAGGATTAGAGATGGGGGGGGGGGTAGATAGCTTGCAGGCAGAGTTTGAAAAGAAACAACACAGCAGTATTGCAGTTACTAAACAGATAATGCAGTTTCAACAAAATGGAGACACAACAGATAAGAAAAAACTGGATTCACTTGCTTCAGGGAAGAGATGAACAGGTAAACCTATTTAAACACATACAGTAAATGCAAGACTGATTTTTTTCCCTTGTAAATGAACTTAAAACGTTTCCTCATAAACTTGAGTTGTTACTTTAAGATACAGAGAGAGAAGGAGAAAAAAAACGGAAATAAAATGAAAAGTTCTCTTTACTCTGTTCTTGTTGGCCAGACAAACACAGGGCAAAGGCTCTTTCTTTCTTTCTTTCTCTCTCTCTCTCTCTCTCCCATTTTTCATTGCTTCAACCTTTTTTCTTTTTTTTTTCTCTAACAATTTCAAATTCTTGTCTCTAGGGATCAGATACATTTTACAATTACAATTACCTCGAGGGCGCACAAAGACTTAGACATACACACATAAAAACAAAGGAGGACAAAGAGATGAAAACAGAACTCTGAGATTTACACATACACTGATCATTCCTGCCATAAATCTCAGTTAAATTAGGGAAGGCACAAATCTTAACAAACATACCATGTGGTTGCATAGAAGACAGAGAGACAAACAAACAAACAAACAAAACCCCCAACATTCCTATTTATATATTTCCCTTTTCTTTTAAGTACCTTTATTTAGCCAAATTTGTCTCCCAGTGTTATCTCTTAGCAGAGCCTATTTTTTTTACACAATTTTCTCAATTTCTTTTTTCTTTTTTGCTTTAATTTATATGCCGCCCTTCTCCGGAGACTCAGGGCGGCTTACAATGCGTTAAGCAATAGCCTTCATACTTTTGTATATTTATACAAAGTCAGCTTATTGCCCCCACAATCTGGGTCCTCATTTTACCTCATTTTACCTACTTTTGAAAAGATGGAAGGCTGAGTAAACCTTTTTCTCATGCCAGCTAAAACTGGCACCCGCCTGGCGTCCCAGGCCTCAAGCAATGCTTCCAGGGGGCTACCCTCCACCCTCGAGCTACCGCTTCCCATGACCCTTGAAATGTAAGGTTCACTTTGGCTTAACCGTGTGGGTCACCTGCAGTTTTCAGAATACAAAAAAAAATTCTGGGAAGGACTTCAATTCCCTCACGAAGTATAGGCCCCTTCCTACCGAGGGAATTCACCTGGATTTTCAGATCAAAAAGGTAATCCGTGAGGACCAACTGCCCCCTGCAGTGGTACCGGCACCTCCTTACTCTATTTGCAACTAACAGGGCTATGCTTTCTTGAAAACACCAGAGATTCCCTTTACTTTTATTGCCCTTTTCATTTTTGCTCAATGTTCGCTCGGCTTCCGTTCCCTTTAAACACAAAGTCCCACATTCGGCACCCCCCCCCTTGTTTTCTCTATCCTACCGGTCATAACTCGATGGAGCTAGTGGTAGGCAGAGGTGCGGCTAGAGGTCGCTCAAAGAGGTGAAATCAGACTGTTGTCCGGGTGGAATCCCACACACACACTTCCTCCTTCCCTAACAGAAAGTCCTGTGCTCTGGCAAAACCCTCATGCTCTCCAGACTGTTGGTCTTTCTGCAGTTAGGAAATGTACAGAGGAAGCAATATCCAGCTGTGATTGGGAGAAGGGCCTTCACTCACACACATGCAGGCATACACACATTTCATATGCTTTTCCATGCTTTAAAATTAAAATTTAGAGGTACTCACCTTCTTTCCAAGCAGCCTTTGAGCTCAAACTCAAAACCCCTTTAAAACCTAGTTCCGAATGGCCAAGGTCCAGGAAAACATGCCCACAGACTCAATGGGTCTGCTGCTAACAAGGGAGGCTTACCTGGGCCTGGTCCATTGTTTAGGTTAGCTTGGAGTCCCATCTGTGGGGGTGCCAAATTGTAGGAAGAAATATCCTTCTGGGTTCAGCTCCAAGTGGGGAAAAAGACACTGAAAACATGGAGACTGCTTGGAAAGATAGTTTAATAGTGGACAGGATCACATGGTTTGAGTTCCTGAACAGAAAAGGGCGAGATACAGCGAGTCCCTGGGTTTTATGCTCTCTCTGGCTTTGAACTTCCTAGGGCCCCGAGAGTATCCTGATGGTTGTCAGACTCCCAGGGGTTGGAGGTCTTAGCTAGCCTTGCTGGTTGATGTAATCTTCCCAGGTGCCATGTGGTGAGTTTCTGTCCTAGATCGGTCCTATTGTTTTGCAGATTATGGTCCTTTGACAAAGGATTGAGTTTCTGCCTCTGGCCCATTAACAAAGGTGTGTGGGGGGGAGGCAAGAAGTTGCTTTGTCTTTAAAACATGTTTCTCCATTTCTCATCCAGGGAAATATAATATTCTGCCTTTTTAATATTTTCTAAAATATTTCATTCTTCCAGGAAAGGGGTGGGTGCTAACTTCCTACACTATGATATTTACATACCTAATAGCATTTCTAACAGCATTCAGGAAATCAAGAAAAAGACACACCCGTGTTTTATTTTACTTATTTTTGAATTTATAAAGTCGCATTTGCATTCTGAGCCTTTCAGAAGGCTGTTTTTTGCTAGCGTTTGAGAAGTGGAAAAAAGCAGCGTGGCTCGTCCTCTTCTCTTCTCATAAGTTTCCTGAAGATGGGCTCGAATGCGAGTCCGAAAGCTTGGAAGACTAAATCTCTGGTCCAGGTGACCGACTAAGATTGGATCTTGCAACATTATCCTGGGACAGGATTGTTTGCCTTTATTCTTTCGTATCTCTTTGCCGCTCATTAGTGACCGCATGGATTATTGCAGAAAGGTATGGTGGCTTTAGATTAAAGCTTTTGTGGAGTTCAACTTCCAGAATTCTCCAGCCATTTTAAATGAATTGCCTAATCTGAGAAACACTGGATTAAAGCCCGAGTTTCACCCGACTTCAACACCAAAAGACGCTTGCAACGCTTGCAATTTACAAGGATTCAAACTAAGATTCTTTGAGGCACTCAGTGGTTAACGAGAACGTTGCGCAATGCATGACGGAAGTTGTAGGCATCGACAGTTTGGGATTGCGGAAGCCAATCAGATCCTCCTTTTCTTTCTACTGGTAATGGCCGCTACCAGGAAGGTAAATCATGCTGTTTGCTCCAGGGCCACGGAAGGTTAATGTTTTAGCGGTTGGTGCCCGGGGCGTGCCAGATAACTCCTTTCTGATTCAAATGGTCCGTTCCTCATCGATAGCAACCCTGGGTCCGGTTGAGCCACGTACTTTCCAAGGAAGTTAGCTGGGGTAACTTAGTGTTGCTACTGCACATGACTCGAAGCATTTGATCGGGACGTGTCATAATCTGCCTTTCACTGGTATCATTAACACTCTTGCGGATTTAATTCGTTTCGGGTAACAGAACAAGCCTGGTTTGGGGTCCGTGTTCTCCCTCCCTTCTCCTTTCTTTAGTAGGGCGACCGGATGGTTCCCAAGACCTCAAAGTTAGCCAAAGAAAGAAAGAAAGCAGAAATACCCACCCACCCCCAGGTAAGAGGCTTTCAGTGGGGTGTTTCTCGGGATTGCCATATTATCTAAGACTTCCACTTTTCCAGAACGGAAAATAGCGGCATCCTGTGTGCCTACAAGTTTTATGCATCAATAAATTTGTCCAGTCTTTTAAAATACTAAAGTCTTCTTGCTGATTTGTCTAATATTCTGGGCAAGACTTAGAAGTGTTTCGATGTCTTCGTTGTTTGTTCTAGGAAATTCTGTTAATTTGGGAGGCAGAATCTGCCTTCCAGTTCTTGTTGACTGAGCTGAGACAGAATGATTAGTCCAATGTCAACCAGCTGGCTTCCTGTTTAAAGAAGGCCTAAAACTTGCAATCTCCTGGCTTCTAGGCCAACACCAGTACATCAAGCTGGCTGTCAGTTTGGATGGAATATTAATTGTATGTTTTTAAGGCTGCATCCCAGAAGCCATAGAACTGCATCCTAACAAATTTCAGTGACAGACTTCTACAATATTTTCCTTCCCTCTATATGACTTTTCAGTTGTCTTTGGACACTTTGTGGAGTCCTTGATGCTCTCTGAGCTTGGTTGTTTGCTTGCAGACATTTCATTGCATTTATCTGACCAGATAAACCATCAGTTTATGGATTTCTTAAATTCTTCTTATAATGCTTATAGCTAAGATTTTAACAGCACAAAACAATTTCTCATTTTACGAAGGTTATTTTTTAATTTTAGTTGAACAAATGTATTTGTAGTAATAACACGTGATTTGGAAAAGGCTAGAGGGAGCATTTTACTTTTAATTTACTTTTATAAGTCAGGTATGATAACCGCACTTTTGCTTTGTCAGTGGTGTTATGCATGTTTAAACTATAAAGATCGCTATGTCCACTGAAAAGTTATGATTTACTCCTTATTCTTAACCCTAAATTTGAGGAAAGTAGATTCTGGCTATTTAAAAAAAACCCTAGTAGTGAAAGCAAATTGACAATGGAGTCAGTTGGTGGATTTCCCTTCACTGGGTATATTCTAGCAGAGGCTGGACAGCCATCTGTGCAGATATTAAGGTTGGACTCATGGTCAAAATTATTCCTTCCACATTCATTATATCATTCTTGTCCTATGTTGTAGGTAGGTAGGTAGGTAGGTAGGTAGGTAGGTAGGTAGGTAGGTAGGAAGAATAGTGTAAATTGTGAGGACATGGCTAGGGAAGGAGCATTTACAGCATATTCTGATGCACTCTTTTGTATCAGTGAAAGATTATTGTATCTGAACTCTGCTATAGCAAAAAGGCTTGGATATACAAAACTTGCTTATCGTACCACTTAAAATACATATAATTTTTTATATTTGTTGCAGCACAAAGTAGGAAATTTTTAACAGCTGTATCTAAATATGACTTTGAGTGCTCAAAGCAGGTGGTCACAGCAATATATACGGTGAAGGGGGGCTTCTATTTACCACCTCTGCTGTGACTTAATAATTTCTCTTTATTTCTGATGGCAGAATGCTTATATGGTGGAACTACACCACCCATCTTTGCAACAGACCCAGATGGAATGTACCTCTCAAGATGTTCCCAGATTCTGCCCCTGACTTTAAGAAGCAGCAAAGCACAGATGCTTCCAGAGTGTTAGTAGGGTTGCCACGAATGAAAAAAAAATTGGCTAAAAAGACATTTTTTAAAAGCTACAAAAGTTGAGTATTGCTTATGGTTATGAAATACAGCATATTAAAAATGTAGGAAAGCAGTTAGGATGGAATAATGGAGTAAGGAAATTGGCTGTCTTTCTGGAGAAATAAGTGAGAACTTGCTGTAAAGCAACAATTGGTTACAGGTCCCATTTCTTCCATTCTGTTTCTTGCACAATAAAATGTTTCATCTATACTCAGCTCCTTTCCCAAAGGGCCTAGGCTAGGCTGTTATGCTGATGTTACCGAAAGTGGGTTCTATCTAGTATCTAGTATCCCTTATAATGTCTTTGCTTTCCTTTCTTTTTGTGTTTAAATACATCTAATTGGTTATTTCTATGTATTTAATATTTCCTTCAGGATCATCTGATCTGTAATGACTGGGAACATGGCCACCACCAGGAATGCTTCACAGCTCTTCTTGGTATTTTTCTTGTTGCTTTTTTGCCTGCCTGTAGTGGAAGCTTTAGATATGGGTGATGCATTAGCTTTGTTGCTAGGTGTGGCTCTTAGTTGTGTTGGATTCTGTGCCTGCCTCGGTCTATATGCAAGAAGACGACATGGAGAGCAATGACTTTAAGTACAAAATGTCCAGCTGAAGTGCAACTGTCCTGATGGATGTTGTTGCAGTTAAGGAAGAGTTTCAAGATGTTCCCCAACTCATCAAATCTTTATTGCCATGTACTGCTCAAGAAGAAAGACCATTCATAATGGGAAGACTGTGGAGAAAGCTGCTTCAAGTTCATAAGAACATTTTGTATGTCATTAAGATGTTGCCTTAAAAGAGAATGATACTGGTTTTCAATTGCATAAGAAAATGCATCAATAAAAGTTAATTAACTGAAGTGCAGCAGGAAATATAGAGGGGTAAAAGAGAATATAGTTCGCATTCAAATGATATACAGAAAATATACGACATAGGACACATAACTATCCTCATAATTACTTGAGAGATGATTTTTTTTCTTCTTCTGAAATATTTCTCTATTTCATTTTTCCCCAAATTAAACCAAAGTATTTTGTTGTAAGGTCAAGTTGCTGTGTACCATCCAATATTTTGTTGTTTTCATTTGGTTACCATTTATGTTACAGTTAATGTTGAAAAGTTAGTCTCCATTGTCTCCTTAAAGCATTGCAAATATTCTAATATAGTAATATGTAATCCAGTGCCATCAAATGTTTAGTTTATAACTCCCATAATCCCTGACCATCAGCCGTTTGATTTATGAGAATTGTAATCTTAAAATATGGTAGCATAATCCTCATAGATTAACTTTTATGATTTCTCAGTTCTACAGAAGAATTGCTGGGAACAATATTTAAATGACCAACCCTTTTCTATACAGTATATATCTCCTCACTTGTATTGTTTGCACATTTTTAATAAATTGTGAAACTTTCACTATTTTCAAAGTATTGAATAAGATAAAGGATTAATGAGAATTGAACAGTGATTTATTCTTGGTTTTCCAGTGTAACTAAATAAACTTTAATATGAGGTTAACTTAATAACCTCCATGCTCTTTAACATGTCTTTCGCTGCTTTAATTCACCCATGATTAAATATTAGTTATTGAAAATATGCCTAAATTTAACAAGAGCACTGTTGAAGCTCATATTAAAACAATTTTATTATAATTCAAGTTTGGTAGTAAGAGAAAGGTAGAAATTTTCTTAACATGCACATACAGACCCATTATAAGAGTGTTACCACAAATGGTTTAAAAATATTGTAATGTCTGGTATAAATATTGCATATGATATACAAAAGATATAGCAGAAATATACTATTCTAATGTATTTTAAAGGCATTTTTCTTATGACCCATGCACATTCTATATGTACATCCTGTATTGAATTCTGCTGCAGATATATGGAGATAAATTACAAAATATTTTAAAATCTTCTAAAAATGTTTGATGTTATTTAGATAACTAGCTGCAAGTAATATCTCATAAGGGACTGAATTCCACCATGCTAATCTTAAAATTAGAAGAGGTTGGGATACTTCAATGTGAAATATTGGTCTCCAGCCAACTTGAAGCAGATCCAAAGGTACATTTAGGACATCAAGATTATAGGCAACTGGCTACCAAAGCCTAATTTTAAAGTATTTTTTGGCAACCAGAAAGAAACCAAGACAAGAAAGGTAGAGCCCATTGCCATTGATTGGTAAGGTGCTGAGGCATGTGAATGGTAGTGAGATAAGAGGAGTGCCATGGAGAAACCACATACTGGGAAGAAGTAGAGAATGCAACGCTTGGGGCAATCCAGTCGGATGGTTAAAAGATTCAAGGATATGATTGAAAACTATAAAGATCAATGGGATGGTTGGAATTCTACAAATGAAACTTGGGAGAGCATAATATATGATTGTGTTTGAAGGGGAGGGAGAAATCAGAAAAGGGTGATTCTAAAGAAAATTGTGACTGTAATTACATTTTTGGCTCTTAAAAATATTCCTAGAAATAGAAGACAGGAATACTGAATCAGTTGACTGAGTTTGAAGGAGAACAATTTGCATGTTGAAGCTAAGCTTCTACTGTACAAGATTATAAAAAAGATTTCAGCAAGTCATCTGTGGTACTTTGAAATTCCAAAAATGCACACAGACTTGCAACTTCTAATTTTACAATATTGTTAGTCAGACTATGAGTATCTATGGATTCTGATAGGAATATGGAAATTATCAAAGGAAATTACTGAAAATACTTTCATATAACTGATTTTAAGTTGCAAAATATTTCTCCTTTTCAGCAACTCTTCCTTGTCAGTAATACTTGACCAATATTACCCCCTTTGAAACAAATGGTAAAACCATTACCCCATTAAATCAAATCCACTCACCCTGTCTTACTGCATATTAGTAGTTATGCTGTATATGCTTTATTGTAGTAAAAGTTATACAAGATTGGTCAATGGAAGATACTCAGTATTTGAAATTTAGAACTGTATCTACAAGAGACTCAAACTCTGACGCACTTCCAATGTAGGGAATATTGGTTATGCTAGATGCCAAAAATAAATTAACATTACGGTTATTTTCTCATTTTGGACATATTTTTTTATTTGTGGCTGATGTTTAAAAGATACAAAGCAAGTTTTTGAAATATGCCTGAGACAACCATTATTTCTGGTCTAATTTTCTTTCCCCTTTCCTTTTGCCTTCTCATGTAAAAGCTGATTTTTGGGCTAGTTGTTCGGAGATATTTCTACCCTTCTATTGTCACATAGATCCTGGGATCCTAAAAGATATATCCTGAATCCATGATAGTTTAAACTGACATAATGAAGGCTGCACATGGGTCTTTCATCTCTAAGATTCTGCTATATGAATGATTTGTAAAGGAATTTGAAGTTATTTTTTTCATCCCGTTGATGAAATGAAGTCATTTTCACTTTTTCATTTGAAACGAAGGTTTCAGAGCATGGTATTGATGCATTAGCTCAAAAACCAAAGACATTTAGTACCACTTGAATAATTCAGCAAATGACCATTACTAACTGACCTAATCTGGTCTAGGAATTTAAGATGATTTAGCCTGGTTAGTGTTTGGATGGAAGATTTTAAGGGAAAACCAGAGCTTTAGATTAAACTGGGAAGTTAGAAAACATCCTGGAAGAAGATTGTATCAAAACATTTTCTTATTGTTGTCAGGAAAAAATACACAGAAATGTCCATCGAGTGACTAGGAACAGAACTTATTTTCACAATTCTGAATTCAGGAAGGAAACTTCAAAAAACAATCAGGCTGGAAAGTTTGAATCAAAATGCAGACAAGATGTGAGAAAATGGATTATTCCTGTAAAAAGCATAGCCTGAGTATTTATTTATTTATTTATTTATTTATTTACTTATTTATTTATTTATTTATTTATTTAATTAAACTTGTATGCCGCCCTCTCTCCCAAAGGACTCAGAGCGGCTCACAACGATAAAAAACACATAAAATTCAGTATAAAAACCAACACAATCCCTTTTAAAAACCCCTTCAGTCTAATTCGGCCAGGCCAAATAGCCATGTTTTGAGGTCACGGTGGAAAGAGCGAAGGTCAGGGGCCGTCCGGAGCTCCAGGGGGAGCTGATTCCACAGTGTAGGCGCACCCACAGAGAAGGCCCGCTCCCTGGGAGTCGCCAACCGACACTGTCTGGCCAATGGGACCCCAAGGAGGCCCTCCCTGTGAGAGCACACCGGGCGATGGGGAGCTGTCACTGGCCACAGATGGTCCTCCAGGTACCCCGGGCCTAAGCCATGTAAGGCTTTATAGGTAATTATCAGCACCTTGAATCTCACCCGGAGAGCAACCGGTAGCCAATGCAGGTCCCGCAGGAGGGGTGTAACATGAGAATGTTGAGACACTCCCATTACTACCCGCGCGGCTGCATTCTGCACCAGCTGAAGCCTCCGGGTGGTCTTCAAGGGCAGCCCTATGTAGGGAGCATTGCAGTAGTCGATCCGGGAGGTGACGAGCGCATGAGTGACTATGCGCAGGTCATCACAGTCCAGATAGGGGCGCAACTGGCGCACCAGACGAATCTGAGCAAATGCCCCGCTGGTCACGGTTGTAACATGGTCGTCCAGAGTCAACCGTGAGTCCAGGAGGACGCCTAGATTGTGCACCCTTTCTACAGGGGGCAACACCTCACCCCCTATAGCCAACGATGGAATATTATCCTGGAACCGCGATGCTGGTCCTCCGTCTTGGCAGGGTTGAGCTGAAGCCTATTCCTCCTCATCCAGAGCCGCACCGCTTCCAGGCACCGGGACATCATGTCAAGGGCATCACTGGGCTGATTTGGGGTGGATATAAAAAGTTGGGTATCATCAGCATACTGATGATACCCCACCCCGAAACCACGGATGATCTCCTCCAGCGGCTTCATATAGATGTTGAACAAAAGGGGAGAGAGGACCGACCCCTGAGGGACCCCACACGTGAGGGGCCTCGAAGCCAACCTCTGTCCCCCTGCCAACACCGCTTGCGAACGCCCAGAGCTAGGAGGAGAACCACCGTAAAACAGTGCCTCCCACTTCCAACCCCTCAAGGCGCCGCAGCAGGATACCATGGTCGATGGTATCAAAAGCTGCCAAGAGATCTAATAAGACCAGGACAGAGGAATAACCCTTGTCCCGAGCCCTCCAGAGATCATCCACCAGCGCGACCAATGCCATCTCTGTGCTGTATCTGGGCCTGAAACCCGACTGGTACGGGTCCAGATATATATAGCTTCATCCAGGGCCAATGGGAGCTGACGTGCCACTACGCTCTCAACAACCTTCACAATGAAGCGAAGGTTGGAGACAGGACGGAAGTTAGTCAAAATAGCTGGATCCAGACTAGGCTTCGCCACCAGATAAGATCGAGTAAAAGATCTCAACTGTGATCGGTCAGATTCGGAACGACTGGACCTCCAACAGCTCTCCAGACCTCTCCTCGAACACTTCATCTCCCGGAGCTCCTCAGTAAACCAAGGAGCCAACCAGGATCTGCGTCGGGTCAGAGGTCACAAAGGCACTTGTTCGAGAGCTCCGGCAGCCACCTTTTCCCAGGCATCCACCAGAGTCTCGACCAGGGCGTGGGAAAGAGAGAGGTATAGTCCCAAGCTCCCTCTGGAACCCCTCAGGGTCTATCAGGCGCCTGGGGAAGAACAATGTGGCCGGTTCTGCCTCCCAGCGGGGGGGGGGCAGCACAATGGAAGCCCAGCCTAAGGAGATAGTGATCGGTCCATGACGGGTTGGGTAGTTGGCATGCCCCCAGCGAACTCACTATGCCACTGCTCCGAGATAAAAACCAGATCGAGCGTGTTTTCCCCCCTGATGAGATGGGACCTGTATTATCTGCCATGGAAGCCATGAACTGCCAGGCCGCTCCCGACGCCTCACCCAGGGAAGGTAGATTAAAGTCCCCGAGCACAATAAGCCTCGGAAACTCAACCACCAACCCCGATATGGCGTCCAGCAGTCCGGGCAGGGCTGTTGATATGCAGCTGGGAGATAGGTACGTAATCAACAGGGCCAACTGACCTTGCGGGCCCCATCTCATGTGAAGGTACTCACATCCGTCTACCTGTGGAGCAGTGACCTTCCGCGGACCATAGGTCTCCCTAATAACAACTGCCACCACCCTTCCCCTGGGTCCTCGGCCGGTGTAGCACCCAAAAACCCGGCAGGCATAGTTCGTTCAGAGGGATCCCTCCCTCCGAGCCCAGCCAGGTTTCCGTAATGCAAGCCAGGTCCACGTCTTCCTCCTCGATCAATTCACTGATGAGGGGAGCTTTGTTAATCACGGACCTGGCATTAAAATAAACCAACCTAAGCCCAGGGGCCCTCACTCTCTGACCCTCAGGGAAACAGGCGGTATCCAGGGGGCTGGAGCGGGCCACCACATACAAAAAGCGGGGGCGCGCCCCCGACCACCGACACTGCCTCCCGTTTGTCCCCTGGCGGCCATTCCCCATCGCAACGGGAATCAGAGCCCTCCCCCCCCTGGAGCCCCAGGGGGCCCCACCCTCGCTCCAACCACATCATGACCCTCCCCTAACCTGGACTGCCCACAACCCGTGGAAGCCCCCCCCTGCCACCCATCGGGTATCATAACCCCATCCCCTTCCCAATCCCCTAAAAGCCTAATTAAAAAAGAATACAAAGATTCTAATGTCTTGAAAGGTATAATGATAAGGCAAGAGGATTACAGAATAAAGGCATTTGCAGATGATCTGGTCGTTACCCTAACGCAGCCGGTGGAATCAATAATCCTGATGAAAGACATTATAAAAGATTATGGTACAGTATCAGGATTTAGACTGAACCAGAAAAAAACTAAACTGATAGTCAAAAATATGACACAAGATCGAAAACATGAACTTGAAAAGAGGGCAGGTTTTGAGATTGTTTCAAAGG